CAAAATGATTCAAATAAATCCGTTCCCATCTTTAACAGCACAGAACAACCACCGAGAGCTGGTTGGTTAGTGTCACTTCTTGCTTCAGTAACTGCCAACCCAACAGTCGTGTCCTTTGACAGACAATAAGCAAAGATCGTGGGGGATTTTATTAAGTTTCTTTCTCTACGACTGGACACCTTAAAGATTCACTCACAACTGGTGAAAATCCCCCCTCCGGTGCCGTCAGTGCCTATAAAAATCTGTCTATTGACCGTCAGAGAAATGACACTAACAGGACATGACTCTTTGTATGCGGAAGTTATCAGCTGTGGGCAAAATTATTTACACTATACAGTCTAGGATTAGGTGCAGGGTTTGTTGTGAATCTTGCTTAATACCTTTAGTATCTCCGTTTAAGCTTGTTTAACAAATTGAATTCCCAACATTACATGGCAAGCTGTAGAATAAATTGACTTTTCTAATATCCTAACAAAGTAATCACAGGGAGCTGGCTAATGCAGCCATATGAACAATTCCCCCACTCTGACAAATGAGCCCTGGAGAGATTACGGGCAGCACGATTTAAAATAAATAAATAAAAAAAACGGGAGTGAGAAACCTACAATAAAAAAACACTACTTACTGTTTGACTATCTCTGCCGCTATCCACTGCATCTTATCAGCTAGATTATACCGCTGTCTTGTTCTGGGTGGGACTGACAGTGATTGTGCTTTATGGTGGGTGGGATACTAGATGTAGGAGCTCAGCCTGCAAGAGACTTCCAAAATAGTCCACACTGTGGTCGACGTAAAGAGCCAAGACTTCGAATTGTAAGAGGCTGCACATAGCAACACCAATATTACACAACAGGTTTTTTACAAAATAAGCAGAGATGGAGCAACGTGATGAAGAAAATGTCAGATTACCACACAAATAAGCATCTGACACAAATACATTTATATCTTCAGAGCAGCATCTACAGTATGTAAGAGCAGCTATAGCAACACCACGCTGAATCTATGACCTTATTTACCACAGCTCATTCGCTCATGTAGCTCATTTTTTTACTGTTTGTACCTGGTGTTTCTTTACTCTTCCTGTGCCAACGATCACATCTGATAATCAGCTCAAATAGTACAAACGTGGAACCAAAAAAAAAAAAAAATGCGGTGAGCAGCTGCATACGTCATTCAAAGTTTAACAGGCAGGAAGTGCGCCTCGCCTCACTCCCTCGACTGAAATGCTGTTACTCAATGGCTGCGTGCTCATTTGTTTGCCCGTGCTCTTACAAGTGACAGCATTATTGAGTTCTGCTGCGAGAAAATCATAAGCAAAACCGGCGGTTATTGTAGAAACACAGCAGATCTGTCACATGCGAGAATACCACAAACAGACAGACACCACACACTGCTTTGAATGTTCAAACAAGGCTGGGACACGAGCTCAAAAGCTACCGGCTCCTCTGTCAGGAATTTTCCACTCCATCGTCACTCAGACATACAGCATATATTTTCAGCGTTTTCCTCCTGACCATCACGGTTGTGGGGCACTCCTATAACTGTACAACACAAGTGGGTAATTTTTAGTCTTGGAGAAGAGACCTGTGCGACACAAATGAGCAAACACTGGCACGGTGTCTGAATGCGGTTAATTAACTGCTTTAATTCAACAGCTACAACTTGTGAACACAAAGCACAGAAGAAGACTGCATCCAAAATTCACAACTGTACAGACAATAGGCTGATTCATAATCACCTCCACTGCTTCTCCTTCAGTGGTGAGAAATTGTGTTTGTTTGTCTGATGTGTTACATTCAAGAGAGGCACCTGAGAGTTTCAGAGCTATCAGGTTTCTGACTCTCAACTACCACTCACTAATATTCCCTCCTCGTAGATGCTTCAGAACATATGAAACGTAGCGCTGCTTCAGGTCTCTTTAGGCGAGAAATACTTTTGAAATGGAGTAATAAAATTACTAATTCAGACAACGACAACAAGAAAACAAGGCAACAACAACAACAAAGGGACCACTAAACTCAACCAATTTCACATCCAGACTGTAGCTGCACAGAAATTTGCAGTCCCAAAGCTACAACCCTAATTTTCTAGGAAATAACTCATGCAATATTTATACTGAATGAATATTTGAAATCTGTTAAAACTACTTGGCTACTTAAAAAAAAAATCTTTGCAGAATGGCATTCTAGAGAGCCTTTTTCTGGGACAGGGATGTTACAGATTGCAACTAGATTCAGTCAGCAACAGTAAAGGCAAGATGTTGCTGTAGGTGGGGCTGCTTTAACACAAAATCACATCAAAAAGAACCTTCTTATTGGAAAATATTATCAAGGTCGAGTGCCAAAAAATGGGTTATGCCTTTAAGAAGATCTAAAAATCAAAATGACGTAACGTTAGAGTGATCGGACATGTTCTAGAAACTATTTAACAGCATGGCCCAGTGCCAGTGTCTGCACTCACAGACACTCAAATACACCTGCAATGCATATTTAAGTTTGCAGGTTAAGACGAACGTGAGCTGTCTTGAAGACTTATTTGAGACCTGTCAGTACATTTCTGCGTGTTTGCAATGCTGCAGAACTTGCTTGCAGGAACTACCCATAATTCATAGTGTTTTCAAATGTCAAGAATGTCATTGAGGAGAGGAATCACTATAAACATGGAAAGTGTATTGCGCAGCAAGAAGTTCCTTTATGAATTCTACTATAAAACTTTCATTTTACTGGCTTGCAGAAGTAAAAACTCACCGTCCCTTTTCTCACTGAGCATTTTGAGTCCTTGTACACTCACGTACTCAGAGTGCTCGGTTCATTAGGCTGGACATTGGGAAACTAGAACTATCATTACTTGAACAAATTGCAATATCAAATTCAGCTAATACTGTGACAGGGGCCATTTAACAGAATACTTTTACTCAGTTACAATTTTGAATATGTTTTCAATTACAAAAAGGTAGTCAAAAAAACGACACTCTCCAAAGCGTGAAAGTCGCCATAGAGATTTGTGAATTTGCATCGCTGACGCAGTCGTGCCTTTAGACCACATGTATTTGTGTGAGTGCGTCTACTGGGGAAGGGGAAGGAAATCCACGGTCAAAAAACTGGTTACGCAAATGTCTTGAGAAGCTGCCGTGTTTACAGCAAAGAAACCTCACCAGTAGTTAAAGGTCACAGTGACACCCTAAAGGACATACACGACGGGTGAGGAAGTGTGAATTCTGGGTCATGAGTGATGCTGCAGTCGACGGCCTTCGCTTCCGACGCTTTGCTTTAATCACAAAAGTAGCAGTAACTAAAAAAAAAAATTTTTTTAAAAAAGAGCCTCGTATTCACCTACAGCTTTTCTGAGTTAACTGTTAAAAGCAGCAGTGCCATTGTGTGTCACTTTGTGTCTTTTTTTGTCCCGTACTTTGTTTTGTCCTTTCAGCATATCACCTGATCTTTGAGCTACCTCTACGGTGTTTATTCTTAGGCACTGTTTGACTGATTTCTATCTGCTATTCTTTTCTCTCTTCCCGTTACGTTCACCCCAACCAGTCCAGGCAGATGGTTGCCTCCCTGATTTAGGTTCTTCTGCAGGTTTTTTTTTCCGATTAAAAGGGGAGTTTTTAATCTTCCCACTGTCGCCAGTGAGATTGCTCAGGTGGAATATTTTGGATTTGTTTTATATCTGTAATATTGTCAGGTCTTCACCTTACTGTGTGAAGTGTCTTGAGATGACTTGTGTTTCGAATTGGCTCTGTACAAATAAAACTGAGCAGAACAGATTTTTAGAAATAGAGGAACATAAGCAATGTCTGTTGAAAAGTTCAAACCACAAGAGACTCAGAGGAGAACAGTGTGTCTTTAAAAAAAGCACAGTCTGTCTATAATTCAGTTCAAGAAAGAACATAGACATTTTTTGTGAAGTGCTCTTCACCACTCCAGTATCTGTTTTCATCCTGCTTAGAAAATGGCCAATGAAAGGTTCTAGATCACAGAGCAGCTGATGGGAAGCGTGTTACACAAATCTCACTAACATTGTGGCCTCTAGGAAGCAGGACACAAGTTTTAACATGTCACAAGTAAGTGTGCACTCTGCGTTCATAGTATCATTGTCCAACAGACAATTCATCTCGGTATGTGTGCCCTGTCAACATTCTCCAAGTGCAGGCTAGATCTTGTTCCTGTACAGCTGATCGCCGTTGTGGAGCACAAATAAAATCTCAAAACTAGTCTCAAATGGTAATTCGGAGACATGCTGCGATGCTGGGAATAAAGCAGGAGGGGTGTCACAGTGGAGTGGCAGTGCAGCGGCTCCTGCCCTCATAGCAGAGCCATCATCTGGACAACAGACGCCACAGCCTCCGAGTCAGCACTGCCTCCATGACTCACCCAGGCCCTGCTGAGTCAAATGAACTCTTGATGCCGAAACCCATAAAGTCATACCGAAAGAGAAATGGGCCTCGAGCATGCAAAAACAGCTTTTAAGTTAAATCAAGCAGATTACAATCTATGGAAGATTTGAGCTACCTGGTGAACCTGCTGAGTGGGATCACATTTTTTGGTTAATCAAACAAGCTGTGATGTGCAGCAGGGTCTTACATAAACTCACACACATGGGTGAGAAAACCAGTCAGTTAAAATAGATGCATGATAACATCAGCACAGCATACAGTCAGGACACAGAGAGGAACATTTCATCAGCTTTAACAAGCATGCCTGTGTGCAGCAGCAGCAGCAACAGGGCCATGGCATGAGAGCAGAGGAATACGCTGCACTTCTTCTTCAGCCCCGAGAAGGAATGCAAAGTTGGTGTAAACACATCTGGTGGCGGGTTATGACAGCACGTGTTATTTAAACCCTTGTATAAAAAAATAAATCAGATTTAGTTAACGTGACGCTGCATCTCCGAGAGGGATGATCACATTTGAACTGGAGTAAACCCACCGTCAGTTAGTTACCTAGCAACATGGCAGCACGGTAATGACAAATTGATGGCTTGCAATGCTCATCACATACCTGGACCTGATGCACAACGCCGATGCACCGCTGCTGGCTTCACCGCGCTCCAGCACGCACGGACTCAGAGTTCATGGGCCTTTCTCCGGGTTCTGGGGTCACTCCTTTTCTCCGGTAACTCGGGTTCCCTTCAGTACGAAGCACCGCCGAGGTCTGGAAACGATGCCATAACTGACAGGGACGCACCGAAAGTCAGCGACTGATTTCCTTTACGTTCGTTCGGCCCTTCGGCAGAGGAAGGGGTGCGACACGTAAAGATGACACGGAGGGAAACATCATCAGCAGCCCCGGAGAGCGCTAATATATCAACCAGCGTTTCTGTTTACAAAATCTGGCCACATCATTGCGCTGGACGAACCCGCACGTTGGATTTCCTCAATCTACCGAGAGAGCGAGAGAGAGGGGAAAAAAATGGCCAAAGTAAGCTGTGGTTAGAAAAAAAAAATGTCCTTGAATATCCGAGCTACCCTCGCATGAGTTGGCGGCCGGGCTCGTCCTGTGTGGTGGAGGGGAGGGAAACGAGTCGGCGGCGAGCTCAACCCCGCAGCGGCTGCCTCCGTCCAGAGAACCGGGAAGAGCGACGAGCGAACACATGAAGAGCTCTCGCCATCGTAAGTTGTCACTCCTCAAGTCTGAACCGCTGCAAGACTTCAGTCCTTTCAAGCACGACACCAAATACCGTCGAGCTACCGCGAGGACGGCGACGTTTCTGGTGCGATTTTTAGAAATAAAAGTCGGACTTACTGCGTATTTAGCTTGAAGTTGCGACCGTTGAAAAGCTGCCGCTCGTCCGTTGTTTCTTTCCTGGAGCGGCTATTTCACCCAGTACATCCACCGCCCATTGCGCCCTCCTATCACTTCAGCGCTAACATGAATGATATTCAAATGAGACAGCGTGAACAACACACCGCTTATTGTTTCCTTCTGAAGGGTTGGCCACACAACTTCCGGTGTGTGTGTCTTCCGTTCAGCAGCTTGAAGACAAGCGTCCAGCTGAGCCGTTCGGTGACAGGACGCCCCCTGCTGGCAGCGCGGCACACGGTCTGAACGCAGGAACCACAGTTTAGTAGCAAGTTTTTATCAATTATTGAAATTATTATTAGATTTAATGCATTTTAATCTCAGTTTTATTTGTTTTTTCTATTTTTCTTGGATGATAGTGGTCCTTCTAATCTTTGAATTGAGTTTGAATTATTGTACTTGTGAGAGGAAATCAAAAGAAGGTCATGTTAAGGTATGTAGGTGAAATATATATTTTTTAAAATATATTTTTTAATTAAAAAAAGAATATGCACATACACATATGTTTTTTTGGGGGGTGTTTTTGTTTTTGTTTTTTTATTATTAACGTGGGATTTCGTGGAGGATTATTCATCCTTCTAAGGAAAAAAATGACTAATATGTTATTATGATATGTTTTTATAGTAAGTGAAACAGGAAGAGCAGGTCTTGAGAGAAGACAAGCCCATTGACATCAATGATTTCCATACTTTTGCCTAGATTTCTGATATATTATGTACACCATCATCTAAAATAGTAACAATATAGCTACAAATGTACTATTATAGGTTCAAAAGCTAGCTAGTTGACCTTAAGTTAAGCTCATTACATTATGCTGTAGCACTAGCTAGCTAGCTTGAATTCTTTGATGCTGACTATATTTCTATCAGGAACTGAAATGTAAGTGATTACAAAATGAAAACAAATTTAAAGCTAATTTCTGTAGGAGTTGTGCAGGGTTTGTTGTGCAGTTTAAAGCACTGAGACGATTGTCCACAAGCATCCTTGTCAAAACTGAAAAAGAGGGAATCATTTATCTTCATTTGGAAGTACCAGGAGTACCAGGTTGTTCAGTGTCAAGTGATGGAAAAATATAATCAAGAGTATAATTATGTAAGCCAGCTGACTCATGTGTTTACATGTTTATTATGCATCGAAATATATAATCATGTAAGCTAAATGTGTGAATGTATGTGATGGTAAATTTTTAGAAGGTTGTCTGTGAAGACTGTCCTTGTGTGGACTGTTCAAGGCAGCTTCGATAAGATTGTTCTGTCAGCTCTCTGGTGCATCAGTACACTTGTTAGTAGACATTCTGCAGGCCACACTGTTCAAGTCACAAGCTGTAACTAAAACAAAGATTTTATGGGGTTTGAATATCAACAACTTTTGACTGTGACTGTTTAGAGATCAAACTGAGCCTGTGAGCAAAGTATGTCACAGGATGTGAAGTTACAAAAGTACATTTATTGGTTGGTGACAATACAGTGAGGGACAAGTCTAGCTATATCCACATTTGTAATGTGTTCAGGTAATTCAGTTTGGATATTATGCATGTATTGTAATCATGCAGCGTAGTTAGTACAATGAAGTGATAGTAAGACAATAAGATTTTTTTTTTGGACCTCAAAAAGTTTGCAGATCAGATGTAATAGCCGACCAGCTTTTTTAATGTCTGCTGCATCAGCCATGACTGCAAATCTGTACATAAGCATACAACATCATTTCTTTCTTGTTATACTTTTCCTCAGCATCATGCAACATTGTAACAACTTCCAGCTCATTGTTTTGGTTTTTAAGGTTGCCAATAGTTCATTCTAATCAGCTTTATTTCCAGGAGCAGCAGAAAACGTTCCAGTAGCAATGCAGTGGTGGAGACAGAGGAGCATTTAACAGCTAAAAATATTTTCCAGAGCAAATGATGCTGATAAAGGAGATTGAAAGAGAGTAAATATTGAACTTCAACTTATTAAACCATCAGAGACGTAGCTTCAAATGAATGATATTGTTGCCTCATAACTGCTAGATGTGTAAATAAGCTACAGTTTGCTAACAGATTGACCAGTGCAACTTTATGAGATGATTATACGTTGATGTTGACTTTACAGCTTATTGCACCAAGGAGCCAAAAGTCAATTACTGAAGGTTTGAACATTCAGAATTTTATATTAGATGCTGTTTATTCAGTGTAAATGACTATTTACAATTTGTAATTACAGTGATATGTTGATTTTCATCCATGATAGTCGTGTAGGTAAAGAGAATTCACTTCACTGGAAAATAAACCCCAAGAGAAAGAAGTTGGTGTTGACTTAAAATCAACAAACAAGACAATAACAAAAGGAGATACAATATTTCTTCTGCCAAAAGGGGCAAAACACGCAGCTTTGAGAGAAACAAGATCGGTATGTTTACCTAATAAGTTTAAATATTAAGGTTAAGACTGTACAATGTTAATAAAAATACAAATGCACATGACTTATTTAAATATCAAGGTACCTACAATGTTATTAATGATGCAAATTAACTTGACTAAATAGCTATTACAGTTAGGACCCTACAATAGTGTCTCCTATGACAAATGATCGACTAAATTATTAATTAACACCCCGCAAAAATATACATGGACTAAACAATCCAAAGATTCCCTCTGAGCGAGCACAATGGCAACAGAGGAAGAGAAACGTCTCCCTTTAAACAGGATGAGACCTCCAGCAGAACCAGGCTCAGGAAGGACAGCCATCTGCCTCAACTGGTTGGGGTGAGGATGAAAGGGGGAGAGAACATAAACACGGAGTTGTGGGACCAGTAGCTGCAGATCAGGCCTGTACATGCAGGTGCAGAACCAGAAATACCTGCATAGAGTTACAGAGAGAGAACAAACTACACACTACAAGAGCAATGAACAATAAAAAGCTTAAAAAGTAATAACGAGATGTATTACATTCAAGCAACTCGGTAAAAATGGGATTTTAAAAGGTGTTTTTTAAAAAGTCACTCATCCTGCGAGCTTTATCTCCTCAGGGAGTGAATGGAGAGACACCAGGATTGAGGTGATGTAATGTTTTCTGCTGAAACCAGTAAGAAATTGAGCTGCTGCGCTCTGACCTCGCTGGAGGTGACAGACTGACGAGTTAACTTACAGTCTGCAACAGAAGTAGACATCTAGAGGTTGTTAGTCAGTCTGTTGTGGATAGCTTCTACATACAACACACTGTACATCACTGGAAAGGTGACTCTTTTACAAGCTTCACATAAGAATGACAGAGCCAAGGTTAAAATGTTCTGAAATGAGGGCCCCTTTTAATGTGAGCACTAAAGATAAAGTTTAATTAGAAATGCACCTCCCCCATCTGCAATATCGAAGAGATGTCATCACAGGTCATCAGAGAGATTGTCTCTTTCCTGTGACCTACATAGTTTCCTGATTTCCTAATTATAGTCATTGTCAAGGGATGGGGCAGGGAGTGTTGCATCACAGTCCATTTTACTCTTCATTAAAAAAATAAAACTAAAAAGTTTGAAATGATTTGGCAAGCCATACATTTACAGTTTTAAATAACAAAAAGATATGTATTGTATTATTTAAACAACGAGTCCACTCATTACAGTAAACTCTACTTTAGAACCATGGTTAATAAAGGGGGAGAACTCAAAAAGTAAAGGCACGATTCATTTAAATACTGTAACTTTAAATTAAAGTTATTGATGTGCATCAGCGTCATTAATGTATTTTAATAATGGACAAATAATCCTGCCCTAATAGGATACACATTTATACAAAAAACTGACTGTTTGGCATTTAGTCTGACTATAACATTTTATCATACACACCAGTACCATCATGGTTTCATTGTAAATCACTAAGTCTGTGCATTGAGCATACTTACTGAATGTAGGCACTAGTCCTGTTCCGCTGATAGACACATGGTGGCGATGTGGAGTTAGCGCACCTGGTATTCTGTCCACGAAGAAGAACACCGCGGCTCCTGATTGGATGATAGCTGACAACAGCGAAGAAAACACGACTGGCTGTGACCGTAAGACAGAAATGCAATGATATGAAGTTTTTTGTCAGGGAATTGAGATAATAACTGACATTTCTGTATTTGGAAGACAATAAACAAGATGTAGTGAGATGTCGGGGCTTGTTCCGTTCCTTGGCCGTGTGTACACGCTGTCCAGTCGGGTCCTGTGGAGAGCTTCTCCCGGTGTCTCTCCGCTGCTCAGACCGCTACCAACTGGGCTGACATGTGTTTTTACAGTCGGTAAAAAAGACCTGACAGACCTTCCAGCCCTGATAGAGGACGAGCTTGAAGAGCAGTTTGTGAGAGGATCTGGACCCGGAGGGCAGGCCACCAACAAAACCAGCAACTGTGTGGTGCTCAAGCACGTCCCTACTGGGATTGTAGTCAAGGTGAATCTTCAACTGGGTATATTTGTCTTTAGAGGCGCCTCCAGAAAGTTTTCAAATGGGAGGTGGGGCTAGATCGGACTACTGATGAGCTTGAGGTGGCACACAGAAAATCAAAGGATGGAACTGAATTTGAGGTTTAAAATTAGACCTGAAAGTTATGTTAATAGGAGAATTATGGAATGGCATACTGATGTGGTTAGTTTTCGTATTTCATGGTTAATGTTACTAATTATCTGATACAGGTTCACATATTCAGGTGTCCTCCCTTCAAGATAGTCCAGGAGAAGAAATACTGTAGTGTATTTAAGGGGGGAAAAGTTCAGCCACTGGCAAGACATCCATAGTTTATGGTTTTAAAGAGTCTTGTCTACATGTGACGACAATTTCTGTAATTACAGTAATTTAGGTTACTAAAAAATGTGGTTTCGTTCTTACAAGGCTGCCCATTGCTATATTTTAGTAGTTACCTTTATTAATAGAAAGGCTACGTTCAATATACTTTTACAAAAT